ATGACCCTACATACAACTAAGTGCAAATCACCGGAGGCGCAGCCAATGCAAAGGAGGGGGGGGGGGGGACAATAGTCTTACTTTTCACTCTTTTAAATCCAGGAGAAACTATAGCATACACATATGTTACGCCCCCCCCCCCCCTTTCCCCTCGCCGCACCCCAATTTCTGGACATCCCGGCCATAGCAACATTCTTCCTTCATGAAAATATTCTTGGCTAAGCCGCTGCAACACCCTAAGGACCGAGCACGCTGCCAAGTTGAATTTTCGGAGGCAGTATCAGCCAGATTACTAAACACAGAGGCCAAGTATTTTTGTATTGGGTATTATGGTGAATGGACATTAATACGACAGAGTACGGCCACCGTGGCATGCGGCGCTCGAATGCCACTGGTCGTTAAAGGGTAATTGCGGTCAAAACACGACGACAAATAAATGGATCGACGAGGGCTTCGCGGATGGGTCGTTAGCACTAGAGGGACTTGGCTGGTGGGAAGGGGCTGGTGTAAGCACTTCCCGTGATGGGCGACCACGAAAGACAGGGGTGCTTTATGGCGCAAGGTTCGGAACGCGTGTTTTCTGCCGAGAGAATCGAAGCGCGCGTTTCGGGCCGGGAGAACGCGGTGGCTCTGGCTGGCACCGTTTATATGGGCGTGTTCAGTAGTGCCTCCTTTGCATCCGAACGGAGTGACTCGGGTCAGAGCTCTTTGGATTTTCTCGCCGGAAATCGTCACCAGTCAAAAAATGACGTCATGTTTATATCTTTTCACTCTACGTGCACCGTCTACGAACTCCGTTGTTCGGAGCTTGCCTCCAAAGCCCCGGAGCTATGTGCATCGAAAGTGACTTTTGGCCGTCCAGTGGAAGAAGTCAGTGACTCCTGGACTCCGGGGCCGCTACTGAACGCGCCCATTAGTGTAGTCGTTCGCGCCCGCTTGTTGGGGGTCATGGCAGAACAGAAACGTCCGACCTCTTCTTGCAGAATGGATGACGGGATGGCTCAATCCGCGCTATCCACACCGGGGTCGGCTGTCTGACTCGCCTGATGTAGTGTGCTTGGATTCGAACCCGCCTGACTTTTGGCCGTGTGGTATACGCAGACCGCGGGGTCTCGCACGGGAATGTAAGCAAATGCCCTACGGTGAGAAAGTGAGCATATTGGTTGTGGCCTTTCGGACAGTGGGAAACGCCTGTCCGACGACGCGTCGAGGATTCGCCAGTTCACTAAAAGGGGATGGGCCGAAAAGTGATTTTGAGTGAAAACGCAGAAAGTGAGTTTAGTTTTGTGCCGGGGCTCGACAGCTGACGCTCGGCAATCGAGTCAGGTGGTTCCGAGGGACTTTCTTCCCCTACTCAGGACGTAATCCCACGAGCCAGTCAACTCCCGATCTTGGATAAGCTAGTAACCGAGCAACTCCTTTCCAACCCCGTAAAGGAGAAGTTACGTCTTTTCGCAGTATTGATTCTCTTTGTATTTTTGAAGTATTAAACCTGTTGGGTCTCGGAGGTACGTCTCGGTCAGGTACTGTTGTTGACACCATGAAATGCAAGGCAGGATTGGTCATTGGGCGTGCCACTTGACAATCTCGGTATCCAATCACAAACTGAATTATTACGGACAAAACCTTGCTTCAGACTCACCCGTAGGGCTAACTTGTTTGATCGCAATAGTTTGTTGAAAGTATTTACGCTTGAGACCTTGGCAAAACATTTATTTTGCTTAAGAAAGCACACAAATTGTATAGGAGGTACGATCTGTGGAACCTCAGAAAAAAGCTCGATTGAGAAAAGGCCGCCCACTTTAGTGCGGGTCCTGAGAAAAGCTCCACTGTCTTTTGAGAGACCCGGAGAAAGGCTCACCTCGAATAAAACCCTTATGCAAAGTGGTCGTTACATTTTAATAGCAGTAGTGCTAGCAAGGTTTTAGGCGACTCTAACACAGGCGGTACACCGTTAAACAAAGTTATCGCGAAGTTATTTTTCGAATTTTACTCTTATAAGGGATTGATCAGCGTCAAACTTTTCTCACCCAAGTTTTTTCCCAGAATGAGCAATATCTATCGCACTAGTAGGTTTGATAGAAATCACTAGAATGGAAGGGGAAAAAGCGCATTGTTCGTCTATACGACAGTGTCACACACTGCACGCACTTCACACGAGGTCGCTCTGCTGTGGCCAACCAAAAATGATTAAAAATGTCATATTTATAAAAGCCCGAATTATTTGATTTAAGTCGGACTAATATCATTGTAGCTAAAAAACATGAATTATTTGTTATGTGCATTTTTAAACACGGCAGGTAGTTTACTCAAATCTTCCGATCAACAAAAACAACGCGAAAAAAAGAATTACTGCAATTCTAACAACATTTTGTTCATGAAACCTCCGCCAGACTACAAAACAGAGAGCTTAGTTGGTTTTGTTTTGTTTTTTTCTTTTTTTTAAGAAAAATCTGTATTGGCTTTTTTTTTTCGCGATATGATTTTCTTTCAATACGACATTGGTTTCCCAGGTTTCGTTTCTATATTTTGCGTTCTGATTATATTGCACAAATATATGACGTAACTGAGGCACGAAGTCGGGGGTCGGAATGAAGCTCAACGCATCGATTTTCTCAAAAGATAACTTCTTTTTGCTTGTTCAGCCCAATATAAATATTTTTTGCGTGGTGGTCATTTTATTTAAATACAAAACATATGCACGTATCGAAAGCATTAAATAGTACCTAAACCGTAAATTACAAACAAATATATTGTTCGCATTAGTTTTGCGGGAAAAGTTTGATTTAGATCTTCCTAGTAAATTCAGTCTGATTTGAATCATGATTTAAGTCATCTTGATCTTTATTTTCCTCCCTGGCTGTAGTTCCCCTTCTGCTTTTATGTAAACCAATTTCGCGCGACTGTTATCAAATTTAATTCCAAAGTAACCCCCCAAAAATACGACTTTTTTTTTCGAATTTGGTAAGAATTGAATTGACTGCTTCTTGAACTAATGGTGAAATGTGGAGATTTGGCTGTCCGGAGTTGGTATACTACATAACAAGTCATTTTATAAATCAAATATTTAGAAGCTACTCAAGCTTCAGCTCTGTACCCTAGTTATAATCCCCTTGGTAATATTTGTGATTAGCGTTTTATTCAAATTGGTCCTTTCATTTTCGTCGGGAAACGCCTGACGTTGCGCGACTTTTCTTTATATACTTCGAAAATAAATTCTGCGAGTGATGTCCAGAATGACTGTGTGCGCGTAAAATATCTCAGCATACTTCAGTTGGGTGAACGTATTTATTTAAATTGAGTGAACGTTCGATTTTTGTATTCCTTAGTGACCTTTTCTCTGCACCCGTCAAAAGCCCGGTGATCTTTTTTTGGGGATCGGACAGTTTTGCGGAGAGCTTATCTCCGGTGAGCTTTTCTTACAACCCTATGACCAAAAAGCTAACCCAAAAATTGGTAAATGCACCCGTACTAAACGAATCTGGATTGAAACAAAATGAAAACATTGAAAGAATATGTATTGCTGAACAATTTTCAATTCAATAAAATTTAAAGAACCGTGGTCCGTGCAAGGAACTTATTTAAAGGGACATTGAACTCAAAATTAATTTGTTTGTACCTAGACAAAACACATAAGCTTGAAAAAAACTTTCTATTATTTACGTTGCGAGAGACATTTTGGTTTAAGAGCCATTCTGATATTTATCACGTCGATCCGCCTTAGAAGCATGCCTCATAATCATTCTTAAACACTGAGTTCACAAAAAAAAATTGAAAGCCGTCTACAACTCCCTGTAACGCCGAATTGGAGTGCAGCTCTTGAGGAGGAGGAGGAGGACGGAAGGGTACTGAGGGGAGGGTAGACCCCTCCTCCTCCTTCTTGTCCTCGTCCTACCCTCATTCTTTAATATGCTCCGGGCGAGTCACCTGACCTCGGGGGAGGGGGTCACGTGACCTCGAGGGGGTGTCACGTGACTTCGGGGGGAAGGGGGGCCACGTGACCTCGGTGAGTCACGTGACCGTGGGGGATCACGTGACCTGGGGGTCACCTTGGGGGTCACGTAACCTTGAGGTGACCTTCGGAAATGTCACGTGACCTCGGGGGGTCACGTGACCGGGGGGGTCGCGTGACCTTGGGAGGGGTCACGTGACCTTGGGGTGACCTTGGGGTGACCTTGGTTACGCGGACGGCGACGGCGACGCCGACGCCGCTCAAGCCGGAAACGGGCACCTGAGAGCTGCGCTCTAAAAATTATTTTAAGTACTTGAATCGCGAACGTATGTCACAGGACGCACTTTTCCACAGTTAAAAACGCGTAATATTTAGGCCACCGGACTCTTTTTCAGTGAGGAGTGATTCCGATACGCGCTTGTATTTTTATTTCAATTCATTCCATTATCGTTAAGGTCCGCATACATGTAACTGACAAAGCAGGTGACTCATAACCACTTGCTTTCTTTGGGTTCAGTAAAACAAGGGCTCTGAGGTGTAGTGAAAACAACACAGGTCACTAAGAAACTAGACGGAAATACTACAAAGCAAAGCTATATATAAAACAAGACATACTAATTTTACTAAACCAACAGATTGCATATGACGGTGAAGGTGATTTAAGAATGCAGAGGGTAGGGTTTTACTGCTTGGCTTGGCACGTGGTTCCGTATTAGAAGTCAGTTAAAGGGGCTCCTTTTGAGAATGTCAACATTCTCAAAAGGAGCATCGTGACAGCGCTGAAATTTCGCTGATGTTTCCTCTTTTCGCCGCGAAACGCCGTTTAATGAGGATGTGCCAAATGAGAACTCCGAAAACTGTAGAAAGCTTAATTTTACGCCTAAAATATTAAATATAAAGATATTTTCGTACGGGAGATGCTATGGGCATAATCCTGTCGCTTATAATATTTCGGGGTCAAAACCAATTTCACTATGTTCGACCAGTAAATCGCGATGGGCTCGCGATAGGGGTGCAAGTTCTCTTGAGAGGAAATACTTGTCCTTACCATTAACTGCCCCATTAAGGCTGCAGCCGTCGTCGGTAAGCCTTGGTGGACGCATCAGGAAGCAGTTTCGAGAAGAGAGGCACGATTCGAAGTAGGTGCGCAGGTCGCGCAGCTCATCGGTCGCTTTGTTTTTTGACTCCACCCCGAGTATTTTCTGGAGAAGTCGCTCGCCTCCTTCCCAGCCGTACTCGTACTCTTTTGGCCACTGCCAATCACGCACCAGGAAGACACACAGCTGGAAGCCTGACGTTCCGCCCTCCAGCTCTTGTACGTGTTTTCCGTATTTGTAGTACATCTGCAAATTCCGTTAAAAAAGTAATAGTACGAATGTTACACGGACTGCAGACAAAGTCCTTGAAATCATCACTTCTCATCACGATACCTCCGGCGCGTCTCCTACTGGTGTACTTACCATGCCCTCAGTGAGAGTATTGAATAGAGGAAACAGAAGGAGTGATTAAGGACCAAAACCCTAGGAGGTCACCTATAGGTGGAGGGGGGGGGGGGGGTGGACGCTGAAAAAAAACTATAGAAGCAAAGAGTGGAAAGTAGAAGAGCTGCTCTGTAGGTGTCATCTTTCTCTGCAGCAAATGGGCACACCTGCCAGCCAAAGCATTGGGAGCCTGAGGCGAAGGGTGGTTCGTGCTAGACCTTCCCAGAGAAGGATTGTCCGAGATGGTAAAGGCCTTTTCAGCATGGCTGTCACCAAGTACAACAGTCAACAGACTTCGACGCCCGCGACGCTCTGTTCTTATCCTTTGTGTTCTCTTTATTATGCGCACATGTTCGCCCCAGTAAACATTAATTTCCTCCTGTTTATTTATTGTTTTCGAATCACCACCCGTGACAATATATATATAGGGTGTTTCAGAGAACGCCGGCCAAATCGCTTTTGCTAAAACTACTCATCGCAACGAAAAAAAGGCTTGTGGCGTTTTGGTCCTGCGCCAGGGGCCCATTTAGGACAATTTTGAAAGTCCAGGATAATTAAGTTGTTAATTATTTTTGCGTAATTAACTTTTTAATATTGTGTTTAAGGGCATAGTTTAAATTAAAAAATTGCGCAGCACCATCGAAAAACACTAAATCAACATATTGCAGAACGATAGAAGGCACGTGAAGCATTTTACGGCTTTCTGGAAAACCGCACGAATTCGGGCGGTTTTTAAGTTTCGGTTTGCTATCGGAGCGCATCTCGGACCCGGCAGCACCGCGCCCCGTGGAGAGATAGTGCAACCAGACTCTGCTGCGTCGCGCGATGACAGCGCAGCAGAGGTTGGTTGCAGTATCTCTCCACGGGGCGCGGTGCCGCCGGGGTCGAGATGCGCTCCGATAGCAAACCAAAACTTAAAAACCGGCTGAATTTGTGCGGTTTTTCAGAAAGCTATAAAATGCTTCGCGTGCCTTTTGTCGTTCTGCAATTTGTTGATTTAGTGTTTTTCGATGGTGCTGAGCAATTTCTAGTTTTAACCATGCCCTTAAACGTAATATTTAAAAAATTAATTAAGCTTAATTCTGGAGATATGCTCCAGAATGTTAGAAGATATGCAAGTCAGGGAAATTGGCCTATAGTTGAGAGGGGGGATGTTTTAGCGCCGCCTTTGTGAACAGGGACGACCTTGCCGAATTTCCAGTCATCAGGTACCTCCCCCGTCTCCAGCCGGTGTTGGAATATTCTGGTGAGAAAAAGGACAGATATCAGCTTTGGCTACGAAGTACTTTAGCATTTAGAAAGAAAAAGAAAAACTTTCGTGTGGCAAGTCCCCAGGGGAAATACTTCTCGGGCACCGCATTCGTTCGCGCCTGGACATGAGTGTACCGTTCCGGCCTGCGTTATTGTCCGACGATGTGCAGGTTCAAGGAGATTCCTGGGACCTCGGAGCACCGGTGTGGGTCCGCAACTTCGGCCAAGGTGAAAGATGGTCACCGGGGACCGTCCCAGAACAAGCTCGGGTCAGAGATGCTGGTCATCGAGACTCCGAAGGGAACAGTCCGTCGACACATGGACTAGATCCGCGGCAGACAAGGCCCGACTGAAAGTCTGGGTGGCCCTGAAGACGATTCGGACAACGTCGGGCCGCCAGTGACACTAGGACAGCCGGACAGCCATGGGTCACCGAGCGAGCAAGACGTGCCAGCCCCCGACGGTCAAGACCAACCAGCCTTACGACGCTCAACGCAGACACGGAAACCCATCGATCGTTTCCAATATTAAGAGAAGAAGAAATGTTGCATTGTCATTATTTACATCCTGTCTACCCGCTGTCATCAAGCCGATAGCAGTTTCCCTGTTGACGTCACCAGTCGTGGCGTTCTCTATATATATGTGCTCGAAGCAATAAAGGGGCGTTTTCCCATACTGGCTGCCACCGGAGCGTGTCATAATCGTGTCGCGCCTGGCCGAGCGGCGGATGGCAGCAAAGACGTAAGACCTCTGTTGGTAAAAAAATCCCACATAAAATGGCGCCCAACCTGGAGACACGACTTCCATTATCGTGGTCGTGGCTCCTGGCCTCCGTCCCCATGTCCGGCCTTACTTGCCGGCATTGCTTGCCTTTGATCGCCCCGTACCACGAGCGCACTGATCTCGACACTTATGGTTGAGCGATTAATGCCGAGTCAGCAACCCGCAGTGCCACTCGTTTGAGCGAACGCAGTGTGATTCGTACGCGTGTTCCTGTTCTGAAATGGCGTGCGTCAAGCAACATTCGTTGTTGCGGGAGACCCTTTGTTCTCCATGCTTGAGGCGAACCCTTCACCTTTGTGTATTTGGGTTCCTAGCGCGCCACCACAACTTGTCCTGCAGGAAAAATGTATACAGAAGTTTTGATGACGCCTTTGACAACCGGGCGGACTTTTATTTCCGGCGGGTAGCGAGGCTTATCAGAGAAGAGTAGCGAAGGATCAGCAGTGCAATCTGGGAATGTAAATATGCGCGTTTTCCTTTGACTGAGTAGTCGCGATACGCCTGCCAATAACGTCGCTAAGTAGCTGGTATTGCTACTTACTGATTGGGCTCCGGGAGCCGAGAAGCGTAACCGTCGGCGTCGAGAAGCAGTTTCCCAGCGTTGACGCGCGCGCTGTATTTCACTGCTGGTATTGCAGTGGACGCGGAGGGCTTTCTTCAGGGAAAGATTTGTATTTGCTTGATGCCGACGTACTCCTGTAGCCTGTTGTTGTTTCCCAAGAACGACACTAGTTTTGCGTTCATGGTGGTGGCGATACGCGGTCTGAGGCGCTCTGTGACAATATCTGGGTGGACGAGCGACTCTAAAACTTTCAGAGGTTACGTTGCTCTGAACCCGGGCGCCATGTAGTCAGAGCGCCCTCTGGCGTTATCTGTCAAACTTGCGTGATCCAGGTGGAAGAGTGACTCCAAGACTCTCAGTAGTTATGTTGCTCTGAAACCTGCCATAGCCTCAAAAGAAGGATCCACAGCGTTGTGAGCCGAAACGAGTGCAAGAAATGTTTTTCTAGCCTCGGTAAGCTAGCTATACTTCGTTTCAGCTTCCGTCCGAGCGCAGCCGAAGCTACGTGTGGCCGGATCCAATAACACGCCAGCAATAGGTCACGCGATCTCGCCTGCACTCTTGTATCACTCCGCTGCGCCGCTGGTCCTCCGCGTCACCCGCGCTAGCCGAGTATTTCGTCTGCTACGGGTGTATCAACGGTATCGTCTGCTACAAGTTCAAAAAGTGCCTGTTCACGTTCTGAAATTTAGTAACAGGGGATGTCAGTACGTAGGCTGGCCGCTGGCGTCTGTGTCCGAGCTTTCAACCTGTTCGGCATTTCGGCACAGTTTCGAGATGGAGGTACACAATGCAAGGTCCCCGATGACCCGGTCGTTGATGTTTCCTTGTATTGTCTGGATATACCAGGGCTCGAGGCGCAGTACTCTCCACCAGTTTCTCGGCGTTCAATGTGATAGGCAGGCAAAGGGGTGCCCTGATTTCGCCGCGTATCAATGAATTGTAGTGACCCGGGCGCTTTTCTTGTTCACAACGCATTCGCGGTACGACACGACCGGAGTCTCCTGCCGAATTTGAAAGTAGACATTTTTCACGACCTCTCGCGCCTGACGCCCAAACGTGCTTAAGCGAAAGGATATTTTGAAGCGACTCGGTGAGGAAAGCAACGAAGCACATGATTTGGCCATCACGGGAACGAATTCACACAGGAAAACCGAGCGCTGGAGTCGTGTTGCCAGCGGATGTACGTGTTTTCACCAAAACACGTGCATTTACATCTATTATTAAAAACATAATCTTCAGACATCTAATTTATTTAGTTGCAAATCATTCTCAACAGTACACATCTGGAATATTGTGCAATGTTTAAGCACATAAAAGTAAATTTAAAAAAAAAAAATTGCTTTTGCGGACTACTTCGTGGTGCGTATTAACGCTCTTCTCGAAGTTGCGAACCGTCCCTCAGCCTTTGGCTGCGCTCGGACGGAAGCTGAAACGAAGTATAGCTCAAATATTCGGCGAAGTTTGTAGGTTTGAGCGTGTGAGCTGCTGCCCCTTTTCTTTTCCTCCTTGGGGAGCACGATGGCGGCTATTTTGCGCGGGAACTTGCGTCTTCCCCGCTCGAAAACACGTATGCATGATGGTTTGTTTATATCCGCCCCTTCGAAGTCCCCGTAGCAATGTACCTCGACTTCAGAGGACGGGCCAGCTGCAGACTGTTATCTGTTTTTTGCAACTTATAGTGTACGGACTCTTCCGGTAACTATAAAACCGGGTATTGTAGGCCACTTCTGTTTTAGCTGACTGCTCAAAGGATTGAAAACTCGGCGTTTTTCCTAGAAGCTCTCTCCCCGGTGTCTATAGTAAGCTAACTCTATTAGTTCGCTTTGTATGTGGACGCGTTTCAAACGGAGGGGCCCCCTTTATGGCTTCTCCTCCCGGTACCTAAGCGGGACTCTGGCATATGTCCCGTTACCGTTCCTTAAGTCCGCTTCCCGATGGAGCGCCTTCCTGACACCATTGACAAACTGGCCACGTTTTTTGTGATATTTTTTGTCGTTTGCTCCTGCCCGTTTCTGCCGCCTTTTCGGCCGGGCCGACGAGCGTCGGTTGCGCGCGCACCCTCGTTTGTAGCCTGCGGCGCCCTTTCTTCCTATTGGAAAGTGCTGCAGCCGGCTCTGGGCGTGTTGTCTGCTGGCATTACGATTTTGCAGGTCTGCTCCGAGGTCGTCCACCCCCCCTTCACCAACCCACTGCGGCCGAGATGGCGTCGATCCCCTTGGCGGCGTGTCTTTAAGACTTTTCCAGCTGGTCTCCGCTGGTGGGC